TTTCGCATGAAATGAAACATGAGTGTTGATGAGGAGTTCAGTGCCGTATACGGACAATATTTCCATGAAAAGGATGATGAAAACGATGATGAAAACTATGAAGAGAGCGATGATGATGAAGACGAAGTATGTGTATCTCAGGCAGAAGATGATACCGAACAAACTTTTGTTAAGATGGACCTGTATGTTGTTGATGTAAAGGAGGAGGAGCTGGTAACAAAATTTCTGTCAAAAGATTGTTGTAATAATGAATGCCATACACTGATACCACGGGAAATGATCGAGAGTACGCGGAACAATTGTTTAGAGATGTCGAAAAATGAACTTGATTTAGTGATACTAAGTCACATCGAAGCTGGAATTATGAGTAACGAAAAGCTAGAAAGTGTATACGCAAAGCTAGCTGGGCGGAAGAAATATGGACAGAGACAGGATACAGAAGTTATGAGGCATAGAATTCAATTTACCTTCTACAGAGTACCTGTTTGTCGTACGTTTTTCCTTTTTGTACATGCCTGTACGACGAAGCGTTACGAAAATTTAGTACGTCATTTTCACGCACAGGGTGTAACAGTGCGCCAACACGGACTGGCAAATAAACCGAGTACACATCCAAAGTCATTTAAACCGGCTGACATCGAAAAATCTGTTAAATTCATCGAGTCTATAGCCGATTTAATGGCTCTTCCACTGCCCGGACGACTCCTAAAATTTAAGGATTTTCGGATAATGAAACTGCCATCCAGCGAGACGAAGTCCTCAATTTATCGAAAATACATTTCTTCACTCAGTGATGACGAATTGAAGATGAGTAATTGCAGTTTTCGACAGATATGGTCCAAATACATACCCCATGTTACAGTTATGAAACCAGCGGATGATCTCTGCGATGTCTGCCGTGGTAAGTAGCTCATTATTTTCTCATTTTATAGTCATCAAACGTTGAGATTAAATTCAGTATTTTTTTTTTTTAATAGGAAACACAATATCGATTGCGCAAGCCAAAGGTGTTACTGACATTGAACGCGCACAGGAGCTTAATCAATTTCTTGATCACCTCCACCGAGCCCGAAATCAACGAGAATATTATCAAAGTTGGTGTAGAAATACTGAACCTACAGCAGTCGTTCTGTCATTTGATTTTGCCCAAACCGTTCACTACCCTGTCAGTCCACAACAACCTGGTACAGCATACTTCAAAGCAACCAAGAAGTGCGGAGTCTTCGGAATTACAGACGAAAAACAAAAAGTTCAGGTTAGAATTTCAAACTGAATCATAGGAACTCAAATTGCTCGCCTTTACAGGATCTTACTTATATTTTTTTTTTTTACAGTACAATTACATGATAGACGAAAAAGATGACGTTGGTAAAGGACCTAACTGTGTTGTGAGCATCCTGCATTATCACCTGCAAACCTACTATAAAGACATTGAAACACTCGTTCTTTTCTGTGACAATTGTGTTGGGCAGAATAAGAATAACACTGTACTGTCATATCTGTCATATCTGCAATGGTGTTTGGCTCGGGGTCTTAACAAAACTATTTTATTCAATTTTCTACTTACCGGGCACACTAAGTTCGCGCCTGATCGTTACTTCGGTATTTTCAAAAGTAAGTATGCCGTCAGTAACATCGACACGTATGCAGATTTACTGCAGTGTGTCGAGGCATCATCACCTGGGGGTTATAATAAAGCTGTATCGGCTGAAAAAGTCGTCTGGTATGAATGGGACAGCTATTTTAAACCATTGTACAAGTCACTTGTTGGAATAACGCAATTCCATCATTTCATAATCTCTACAGATTGTGTAAAAACAAAGAAATTCGCAGACAGTGAAGAAGTGCAGTCCTTTAAGCTTCTGTTAGAACCTATCGATCCTGAAATGCCGAAAGTTATGCAACCAGCCGGTTTATCTTTGGAACGTCAGTGGTACATCTATCACAATCTTCGCAGCTTAGTTTCGGATATATCTAAAGTAGATATTGTGGCTCCATTGCCGAAAGATTTGCCATCGAAGAAACGGAGGGCAAAAACTAGTGAAGATGTTCTCAAACCAGACGAGGAACCAGGTCCATCTTCCTCAGGATCAACATGTAAAAAGATCTCAAGGAAAACGACAAAAAAGAAAAATACATAAACTACTCAGCATTATTACGTTTTTCTAGTGTATAATCATGTCTTTATAGCTTATAATTCAATGTATTTTGTTCATTACCAATAAATTATATTTTGTCGTATTTTTACTCTTCTTTCTCTACATTTTTAGTACACTTCTAAGCAAGTTAGGATTTTCTGCTTTTCACCACGTGAAAAAGCATCTCATCTTCCATCCGAATCAACCAAAAAGTGAAAATTGATTTTTTGACACCTAAGCCCCCTTTCCGTAGACCAGGTCACATATAAATAAAATGTAGTTCATAAAAATTACAAATATTATTGATTTTAACTTGAGTTTACGCATTTGGTATGTTCACAAGGCGCAGCAGTTGAGAGCAACCGTTGATCGGCTTAATACATTAGTTGTCAAATTCAACTCTCATAGGTACACACCAACATGTTGTCTCAAATGATCAGAAAAATATTACGATCATCTAACACGCATCTGCTCAGTTGATCAGATGTTCACAACAACGCGTTCAAAAGATGCAATTGCAACAGTTACTGAGCTGTTACGCCTTCTGAACGTGTCCATTAACATTTTGTACATATGAGCCAATAGCTCTGATCCAGTACTCCATGAACTTACAGGTTTTTACACAAACTTGCAGGAAGTTACAGGAAAAATGATCGCGTGCTCCAAATTCCACCAAAAACCCTGTAAATAAGAGCGATTTTTGGAGAGTTGTGTAGAGAATGAAGTTGCAAGATTTTACCCGAACTTTTTCTTCTGGTAAAATCATGTTAAGTGTCAAGCGATCACTGGTTTTTGCTGTTTGACATTTTTACAGGATTTTACACGAAAAGTATTAGATCAGAGCTAATAAATTCAAGTAGGAAAAGTATTGGATCAGAGCTTTTATATGTATGACATTTGTGTCGGTTTCTCTCTTTGCGCCAGGAAGTAAACTTTATACCTAAGATCCTCTCAGTTGCTTCATTTGAGTGTGGTATTAAAAAAAAAAAATTAATATTTTTTCAAACAGTGAAAACGTACCACTATTTAAGGACTTCATCTTAAATTATTTTTTTCTCAACTACGCAAAAACTTTGAAAGACTAAAGGCTGATTTTCACTCTGGCAAATTCAGTGGCATTTGTCGTCAAATAAGTGAAAACACATTGTCAAATGGGATTAAAAAGCGGTTTATCGATTGATTTGGATCAGGACAGGTCTTTAGTCCTGTAGAGTACATGCGCTGCTAAATCGGCTATCTCTCTGTTTTTGGCCCATAATATCATCGGTAAAGGTACGGATAAAGGAGGTAAAGTTGTGTCAAAATATGTCACCAAATTTTGGCGTCAAAGAATGACATAGTGAAAACCAGTCTTAAGAATTCGCTAAAAAGGGTATCTAACTCGATGTCTTGTATGCAAAACCCATTTACAATGTCAGTGAATTGAGAAAAAAGAATTGTAAGTTGTAAGCAAAAGCCATTCAATTTTCCAAATTCGTTTTTATTAAACTGAAAGTTATTTTCGAGGTTGTTAACACTCGACAAAAAATTTTAGCCCTCTTTATACTTCATCATAACGACCCAGCAATATACCCATAAAACGACTGCTCTTTTTGTTGTATTAATTTACCGCGCATATCAAACATTATCCGAAACTTCATCTGAAACTTTTTACAGTGCAGGTTAAGGAAGTTCCAACGTTATGTAAAACCTTAACAAAATCCCAAAGTATTCTGTTTCTGTAAAATAATATTACACAAACAAAATAAGTACATGACGAAAAATTTCCGAACACCTACATATGTAGGTACCGAGTATCAAGCTTGGAGGAAGAACCCTATTACAAATTTATATCCTCAGAATTGAAAATTCAGTACAAATCAGTACAAATTTTGAAAAATCAGGACATTAGCGTACTGATTTAAGAAATGAAAAAAAATCAGTACGAGAGTTAAAAAATCAGTACTGTACTGATAAAATCAGTACGTCTGGCAACCATAGTAGGTAACCATCAAGTCAAGGTGGAGGAATGGTAGTTGCAGAGATAGTAGTCGAGAGTTCCAGCTTTAATTTAAGCCAGGAAGGTTCTATCACCTTTTGTTTCTTTGCTAGCTTCCAAAACGTTGTAAAAACCGCGATTTCTTGACACCTTGACCTAGTTTTTCTTTTCAAAATCTGGAGCCGATGGATTCGCTTACGGATTCGTAATCAGTACGAAAATGTCTACCAAAACAGCTTTAAATTTACCGTACCAAAATATGTTTCTATTTTTTTTGGGCTGTGTTATCCATTAAAAATGAGGGCAAATTCAGATTTCCTTTTTGTCTACAGAAATTTTTCCTTATGTGGTCCATAATACCCTTCGCTCTCCTATTATTTATAGTTACAATGAATATCAACGTACATGTACAGTGATGGGCAGAGAACGAGCACACAATGGGCTAACTTTTCTCAATATTCATGGCAATCTGGATGTTAATGTTGACTCGGTATTAAAAGAATTTTTGTCTATACCTCAGTGAATTGTATGTAACTTTTCTTTGAGTTGTGCTGATTGATATCCACATTTAAATGCAATATGCTGAATACTTTAAATAAAACAATGATATTCTTGGTTGTTACGAACGACTTTACATAAAACAATCCCCAATATGCTAAATGTCATAGCGTTTTCTTTTCTCGAAATAATTTTGCATTTATTCTGCCCTGCGCCAGGGTTGTCAAGTTTTCATGTCCTTTTCTTAGTATCTTCACATACATTTTGTGCGCTCTTTCTTTAAAATGTTGCGCTCTGATTATGTTGCCATATAAGAAGGTGACATTTTTTTCGAGAAAAGAAAACGCCATCAGTTAAAAATTAAGTGTACAAAATTACACACTAACCTTTGACTCTTCCCTGATGTTCCGGCAATCGTTCAAACCTCCTCCATGACAGCGTTGGCTTTTTCAGATGTTGGTTATTTGCGCCCATACACGTTCCACAGGTTTTGTGAGCTTTGTTGATTGTGCTTAGGTTTCTTTTCAAAGCTTTATGAGATATTTGTTTAGCTTCAACGGATGACCTTGCAAACGTTGTAGCGAAAGGCAAAATGGGAATACGCGCTAGTTGCTTGGTTTGAGCGAAAATTCGTAATTCAAACGGTATCAAATACGTTGCAATCACGATTACAATTGACATAATTACTTGATAAGGGACCATGGTGACTTAGGATAAATTTGATATCTCGTCACATACGAGTTTCGAATCCGGTATATGTAGATATACCTAAAATATATGTATGTATGTTTTGTATGTAAGTACATGCATATGGACATGAATGAAAATCTAAGGTAAGCTACTAGTAAAATTGCCACTTAACATTAACGCTAAGGGTCTATTTCAGATAAAAATTTAAATGGCACTTAAGTTTAATTTTGGATTGTTATTTAAATGCCATTTAACTTTCGTTGGATTTCCGATCACCCGTATTTAAATATGTAAAACAAGTGGCAACACTGCTTCTGGTTCCTTGAAATTGTTGTTGCATTTGTTTGTTTGCTTACATTTTGTGACGAAGAGATGATTGTTGTTTGACACAAGAGCTAATATTGACCATTTTTCAGTGCAGTTAAACATATGATCCGAAAACTAATTTAAGTTAATCGAAAATATCTTCTTAAATAGCTCATCTGACATTAGGCCTAAGACATAAACTGTCAAATGAACAGCTGATATTTGTAAACGAGGAAAGAGAAACATTCAGCTGCCACCGTGATTTAAAAATAGTCTAATTTTATAATCAGGGAATGGACTTTATGGATTTTCAGAGAAGAGATTAATATGTTTTGATAAAAAATTAGCTTACCTTGACTCCAATAATGGGCATTTGATTTACCTTTTTGATGATTTTTACCTTTTTTGCCGTCAATTAAGAGATTTCAGCCTATTTGAAAGTTTAAAAAAAATTTAATATTAAAAATTAAAGCCCATATACAAAATGGATATAAAAAATGGTGTAAGTAATATTTAAATACTTCGGAGAAGATTCGGAAGCGGCTTATAGAAGAGCAGGACCTACTGCCAAACTGGGTTGGAAAAATGAAAAGCCACTTTTGCGGCCTACGAAAGTTTGGAAACATCAAGGGCCTATAGAAATCATTGATATGAGCATAACGGTTTATTGTTTAGGAAACAACAACTACGTCAATTTTTAAGGATCAAGCTGAGCATTAATTAAAATTTATTAAAAAACAAAAATAACCCTGTAGTTCTTGATTTGCCAAAAAGTACAATATACCCTTATGCTCACCCCATTGATTTTTATCGATCCCCATATTTTTTTTAGGTTGTACTTATGCTATCAGCCCATGATTCAATAATACAAGGTTCGATAAACTGACAGTTGTCTCTCTCGCACGGCTCCCTTATGCCTAGGTTATAATGGAAGTAACGGAACGGAGTGAACTTTCACTTAATTATCTATTGTATGGGAAATGAATGCAAATGGTTATAATGCACGTAAACGTAACGTAAAACGGAACAATCTAAAATCAATAGATCCTTACGAATTCGCCGCGATTTGTTACGATTCGCCCCGTCCATTATAACCAAGGCATTAGCAGTGGCGCCGTGTTGCTTCTTTGCAAATTTACTTGGAAAAAGTGAAGCTTTGCTGTGAAATAGAAGTATGAGCTTTTGTGCAATTTGTTTATTTGTATATGCATATGAAGCACATTTAACTGATGAAAACATAAATTGTTTTTAAATTGGTTGTTTACATAATTCTCAAAGTAGTTTTATTTTAATTTTAAGTCCTTTTGCAGTTTTTATATAGCTAAATAGCACATAAATTACGTAATTCATGTAGATATATTCATATTTCGTTCAATATTTCGTTTAAATGCCAGATTTCCTGCAAATACATTAGAACTTACAAAAGGAATTTCACTCCTAATTGCCTGCTTTGCGTACTTTTCTACTCCCATTTTCGCAACAAGGGATTGCATTCTTCCCCTTCTCTGTCTTTCGTAAATGCAATCTTGTAAATTATTTAACCGTGTATTATTGAGTCATGCTATCTGCTTACGTTAAGCGCAAGTTTAGTACATTTATGGATTTTCTTCGAGACAATCGAATGGTAAGGCTGCACGAAAACATCAGGAAGCATTTTGTGGTTTAACGTTACTCAAATCTTTCATTTTATGAAACCAGTTTATCAAAATTTACAGTTTTCTTGCGAATAAAGAAAAAATGTCTCCTTTTGTCTAAAGGCATTATTTTCTCCCTATTTTTTCAAACGTTTAGTGCATTTTCCTGCCTATTTCGCAATTCTTGTTCGCATTTTTTATAGGCTTTCCGTGGTTGTAATAATTGAAATAGTGGATGAATAAAAGATAAATAAATATGATAACATACATTACATTTGAGTGGTCTAAAAACGCATATGAAAAAGTAAAGTCCGAATTTTAATGCTCTCACTCCTAGGATTGTTCTATCAGAAGAAAAGTATACCTCTCTTTTATATATATATATATATTTTTTTTAAATCAAGAAAACATTTAAAGGTCGCTCACAGCGCCCAAAGTCTTCCATGTATTGTCATACATATGTATATGGGGGAAAACCATTTTACGTCGAATTGGTATAATAATAACAACAAATTGGCGATTACGCATGTATGTTAGTGTTTGGCCGAGCTTCTCCTCCGATTTGTGGTGTGCCCCCTGCGTTTTTTATCATTTATTGGGATTTTTAGTGGTCCTATAAAAAATAGGTAATGCAAAAAATGGTTAAATAAATAACTGGGTATTATTATTGAAAGTCTCCTGAAGAAGTTTTCAGATCGAAAAATATTGATTTCTATAATTCTATACCATTTTAAGAAATTTTGTTTCCTTTTTAAAATATATGGAAAACTTTGAGCGCTTTGATCTACATCTAAATATTTTTCAATGGGGGCGAGTTTTATTTTGATCTTCAATCATAATCCCCCTATAGAAAAAGAAATCATATAAATCTCTTCGCCAACATGACAAATTGAAACAATGGATATGTAGATACAATGAATGTATAGTCCTTTTCATAACTTTACGACATTCACATATTGACAATATTTGACCATTTGTCTTATTTTAATTTTATTTTAATTATTTGTTTATAAAAATGTAGTTTATTACTTAACAAAAACCATATAAATCCGAGTTTGGGTATTTGTGCAACACTTGGAAATAATCAACAAACTTTATTGAAAATTTCGAACTTTTAATTGAGATTTTGTAGAAATATTTTGAGAGGGCAGTTCAATTTTACTATAATAAAGAGAAAGTTTAAAGTAACTGGGACTTAAGGTTAATTCTTGGAAATTTCCTTTGTTGATGGTGTCAATCATTTTCTTTCATACCACGGATTTTCGACGATTTTTTTTTTTTAAATGGGCAAATGGAACAACACCTTCAACAAAATAATTCCCAAAATTCAATGGTAATTCCGAGCTACTTTGAACTTGCCTTGTTATACTAAAATTGAATGGGCTACAAAACTGCATACTTAAAATATTTCTAAAAAATTGAACAAAAAACTCGAAATTTTTTCGAGAGTTTGTTGATTTTTATTTAAATTCAGCACCAAGATTGAAACTTGGATTTATAAGGTTTTTGTTAAAAAACAAACCATGTTATTATAAACAAATAATTAAAATTAAAAAATATTAAGATAACTGGTGAAATCTTGTCATTATGTGAGTGTCGTAGAGTTATGATAATCGCTATATGTATGTCGAATCGAACTTTCTGATAATACTTTTGTCTATTTCCGCGGTGAACGTAGAAATTTTCTCTTTCAACTGTGTAACCTGTAATTTTTATCTATAACCGTTCATTTTCATATTTCATATTCATTTTTATTACAAGAGCATATTTTATGAAAACTTTTGTATTCAACGGTTAAAATAAATTAATAAGCCCTGGTTTAATCAGTATTAACCCGATGTACTACATGATTAAACAGATGAAATATAGCAGAACGCCCACTTCTCCTAAAATGCGCACAAATTAGCCGTAAATTGTCTAATGCATTAATATACACACAATATGTATATTAGGGCGGGTCGAAAATTTAATTTTTATCAAATCCCTTGGTTATTGTGAAAATATATTGTATCATGAAGTCAACAACAAGCCTGCAAAATATTAGTGTTTTATTTTAGTTGTAAGAGCCCGCGCATCGACCGCCAAGTGACCCACAGCACCCTAGTTAAATAAGATCAATTCTTGTTAAAAATTCTGGGTTCAGCAAACAGTTTTGTTGCAACGTATTAGATAATGAATTCGTTTACCCAAAATAAAAAGTCAAATTTCATTTCTCGCAGCCCTTTAGCTAATCGTTAATCTCAAAGTTATCTGTTTTCAATAATATAAGAATTGTTCCCTTGATAACTGCACTGGCCTAGAGTCAAAAGATGTAAAGAACAGCATTAATATTGCTGGCGTGCATTTAGATCGCTGGTTCCAAATATTTTAATCTTTTTTTAATATTAGCTATAATTTGCGATTTTTTGCAAATTTAGGGACAATTTCGGTGACTCTAATAGAAAAGCCATTATTTTCCATCATCGTGGAAAAATTTTGTTTATGCAAATAAGTATGAGAAGACTACATACAATATAAAAATTGCAAATATAAGAAAACTACAAAAAATTTTGTTCAAAATTTCTTTTATTTTAAAATAATTTGTTTATAATCTGAACGATTTTAATCAAATTATTATCAAAAATCAATAACATTAAGTATCGCCTTCAATTTGGTGATTATTACGCACCGATCGAGTAGCATTTACCAAAGTTATATCGAAAAATTTAAGTGGATCTCCAGTTTTTTATAAAAAAAATTATCTTCTATTGTATAAATAACTTTTAGATGATAGAACCGGATTACAGAAAAGTGTGCCAGGGAGTGACTTTTTTCGTTCAAGCTAAATGCAAAGCAATATCGTCCAATTGGAGAGTCCTCAAAAGGATTTCCCAGGATATGTTAAAGACTATTGCATTAACCTACAGTAACTTTTTCACATAATGGAATTAACTAAAATATTTATGTATATCTAAAAACTTATTGCACATCCCCTACTTTCATATAACGGCAGATTTAGAAACCGCGAAAAATTTTCAAGACTGCATAAATGGACTTAAAACTCCTCACCCTAATGGTATTATGTTAATGTATGTAAATACTTATATGCTGGAAACTACTATTAACTTATCAAACGATTCCTAATCTTTCAAAATACAT